AGCAAACATCGGTTTAGGGTTTAGGGAAACATCCTAAGACGCACGAGCTCGGTCTCATGAGATGCGAGCCGCGTGAAAGCAGCGCTGCTGCTGCCAAGACTATGAATCCAATGTTGAAAAATATTGCACAATGCGCTACAAGACCCTATATATATATAGATAGATAGATAGATAGACGCCCCAATTAGCCCTCATCAGCCCAAGCAAAGGCAATTTAAAGTACCAGGTTGCCGAGCTGGGAGGTTAGAAGCGTCGAGACACCTCCAGGTGAGCTTGAGTGGCGCTGTTAGTTTGGGGTTCAGGGTCTAATTCGGGGTCTTTCTTGGGGTTCAGTGTCTAATTCAGGGTCTTTTTTTGGGGTTCAGGGTCTAATTCGGGGTCTTTTTGTCGGCTCCTTTTCTCACTTCTGTTGGTTGGGGCTTCGGGCTTGGGGTAGAGCTTTCCTCTTCTGGCAAGCGGAAGGAAAAAAAACTTGAGCCTAGAGTTGAGCCTAGAGTTGAGAATATATATATATATACACATATATATACATATATTTGAGCACTTGAACGAGTGGATTTTCGAAGGCCTCGCCTTCCTCGAGGACCCTGGCAAGCCCGAAGTCGCAGACCTCTCAGAGGGTAGGGGCTCAGCGGCGCGCTGGGTTTGGGTTGAGTTGCCGTTTTGGGCTTTGGAGACCTTAAGCCATTAACAGGCATGTTCGTAGCCAGGACACTAAGCGTTTACACTGAGAGCTGGGTGTGGAGCTTGGGATTCGGGTTCCAGGGACTTCGGCTTAAGGAGGAGTGGCTGACCATTTGGATCTAAAAGGTGCGCACTCTGTGTGTGTGTGTATGTATATATACATATATATATATATGCATAAGTTGTACAGAAGGCTCCGAACTGAGCCATCTCTTCATACTCCTAGCCCCATGCATGTGCGAAAGCTGCAGCTGACCACGGAAGGATTTCGACTCGGGGGGGGAGGGGGTGCATGGCTTCCGTGAGTCAGATCGAACACGGAGAATTCGGGGCGACTGTAACTACCCACGACCTGTGCCTTTTCCCACTTTTCCCTGGCCCAAACAGTCCCAGCCTTGCAAACGAAGCTGAGCTCCCGAGGATCCGAAGCAGGCTTCCTGGATGCTACGTGGCTTTAGGTTCAGGTTTACGGCATCGGGGCTCAGGTAGCTTTGATGACTGTTGCGGAGTATGAAGAGTACCAGATGCAGCCAGGCCACGTCTGCAGCAGCACGTTGTTGGACGTGAGATCTCCATGGATAATTTCCTGAGAGTGCCTTGCCGAGGCCATGGCTCACGCTCAGAGCCAAAAACAAGTTTCCACAAACCATCACCATCATCAACAACAAATGTCAACGATCGATGCTGGTGGCACAGACGATGTGATGATGAAGATGGTGATGATGATGATGATGATGTCGACGATGACGACGACGATGACGATGCCGATAAGGATGACGACGATGATGATGAGGATGACGATGAGGATGATGATGAGGATGACGATGAGGATGCTGATGATGATGAGTATGAGGATGAGGATGAGCATGAGGGTGGCGATGAGGATGACGATGAGGATGAGAACGGCGATGAGGATGACGATGAGGATGAGGATGACGACGAAGATGATGATGATGATGATGATGCTGATGATGATGATGATGATGATGAAGAGGATGAGGATGACAATGGCAATGATGATGGTGATAACGACGCTGGTGCTGATGCTGAAGCTGAAGATGATCACGATGACGACGGTGATGAGCATCACGGCGAAGGTATTCATGAAGCAATGGTGTGGATGAAAACATCAAAGCAGTAATAGGAAAAATGATAATAAGTAGCCAGGGAAAACGGAACATGCAGATGCGTCACTGCCTGTTTGATTTCTAGGTGTCCCCACAGGCACAGTGCTGATGCTGAAGCCTCCTGCAGGCTTCGCAATGGCCCGGAAAATCAAAAGTTCCACTGGTTTAGAAGCACCGCTGCTTTAGCTGCTGCTCCTTGTCTCTTGCTAGGCCGTTGTCAGCAGAGTCCTCGTAGCTGCAAGTCGGTTGGTGTCTGTGCGGCTGCTACTCTGTTGTTGCGATCGATGCCACCGTACTGCACCATACTTCTGTGTCGTCCACAGAAGTAGCCGTAGTTCCCCATCAATACTGTCTCACAAACCTGATGCCAAGGCACAGGTACTCGCAAGCCTTGGCGACATCGAGCATGATGCTTTTCACTTGCCTGCGAGGGGCAGAGCACAACGGCGGATGATGCACAGAACAAAAGGGTCGAACATTGGCTGAGGGGTTAACGCAACCGAGAACCGAAAGAATCTCGGCTCAAGCTTCATGAAACACAAAGCAAATGAACTTGCTTCGCCATGCTCAAGGGCCGAAGATTGCGGGATCAGCAGTGGAATTCCGAGCCCAACTCTGGTGCAACTGCATCAAACGCTCAAGCGCCGCAAAAGGAAAGTTCATGATCAGCAGCAGCAGCAGCAGGTGGAGGAGCGGTAGTAGCAGTCAGTAGTTGTTGTAGAAGTAGAAGTAGGGGTAGAAGTAGAAGTACAAGTAGAAGATGAAGTTAAAGTTTGTAGTGGAAGTAGTAGTAGTAGTAGTAGTAGTAGTAGTTGTTGTTGTGTAGTAGGAGTAGTAGTAGTAGTAGTAGTAGTAGTAGTAGAACGTAGTAGTAGCAGTAGCAGCAGCAGCAGCAGTGGCAGTAGCAGTAGCAGTAGCAGTAGGAGTAGGAGGAGGAGTAGTAGTAGTAGTAGTAGTAGTAGTAGTAGTAGCACTAGTCGTAGCGGTAGTCGTTGTGGTGGTGGTAGGGGTCTTGGTGGTGGCGGTGGCGGTGGTGGTAGGTGGTAGCCGTCTTAGCGGTTGTGCTGGCTGTGACAGAAGACAGCTCCGACGAGGCTTTGGGGTTGGGATGGTTTGGTGTTTAGTTGGTTGTCTTGGTTCATGCCCCAGTCTGCATCGATTTGACTTGAGTCATAATACTTTTGCTGTTCGAGGGGTTTGGGGTTAGGGTTTGAAGCAGGGCTGCCGGCAGCTGCTTGCTCCAGATTCATTGATTGATGGGACAGCACTGCAATTCACATAATTTAGACCAATGAAGAGATTGAATTGCTTGACACCATTAATAAACTACATATACGATACCTGACAATGTCAAAGTCATACGATGATTCAATGATATGCTGCCTCGGCGGCTGCGTTCGGCGCTGCGACGTCTGGGAGCAAATCCAAGCATTTGCAGGAGAAGCATTCACTCGCGAGCTTTGACAGCTGTGTCTCCAACTCGTTCGTGTTGGCTTTCAGGGTGAACATGTGCAGGGCCATCTTCTTGCTCTGCTGTTGTTGCTTAGATCAGATAGGATCGACAAATGCCGACGGTGTGCACCCGTCTGTATCTGACCCCGGTCCCCTGATCCGATGCAGCTGAGTCACAAGATGCACACACATCTCTCTGAAAGGAGATACCACACGGCGGGCGAAGGAGAAGAGGCCGAACAGCAGCTCGTCCATCAAAGCCTTCCCAGGGCCCAGGGATTCGAAGGCATGCAGCAAACAGCTGGTGTAGTACTGAGTATGTTGAAGGTCACACGTATCTAGGTTGCCAGTCCTTGACACACGTGTCCACAGTTTTGTCGTAGCTCTGCTTCGATGAAGCAGCAGACTGCAAGATCTGGAAAGGATTCTTTCCAACCTGCTGGCGGTCGTGGTGCATGCGTGTAGGGTTTAGGGGTTTAGGGTTTAGGGGTTTAGGGCTTAAGGATTCGGTGGTGGGGCTGTATTAGACTTGAATTTATTTATAGCAGAATAATGATTCGCCGATAAATAGATAAAGCACCCACAGCCTCCATGGCACTCCACATGATNNGTTGTACCTTACATACTGATTGCAATTGAACTCCTGCCGGCGGATGTGAAGTGTTGCAATGGGCTCTGGTTCCAATCCGAGACACTTGAGCACTTTGCCCAGGATCTCCACAACCTTTGCGAAGTTGAAGCTGGCATCTGTCGTGCAGGGCAATCCGTTCCTTGGTTTGATGAATGAAAGAAGAACCTATTCAATACTGTGGGATTGCGGGAGGCAAGATCTCGTCATTGCAAATTCTTTTGAGTGTCTCTTTGAGAATGTCCCGACTGAACAGCTCCATGAGCACGTCGTCCTTATCAGCCTCAGACAGGCAGTTGGTAGTGCTGTGTCGCAACTACTACAGAATGAAATTCTAGTGGAGCAATATCGACAAGACAAGCAACAACCTGCAAGTATCTCTCGCCGGCTTCTCTCAAAGTGGCACCAAAGGAGCACGTACCCCAGGGCGATTTTTTCGCTCGGAACAACCATCCACTCAGCATAGTCATTCCTGGGACGGGCGGTCTTTAGGTGTAGGAAAGAACAAGACGAAATGCCGAAGGGCTTTTCACCACTGGGCTGCAGGAGGTCACACGGCCCAGGTGTGCGTGGAGTTTGTGCCTAAGTTAGCGGTGGACAACATGTTTTAAGTTTAAGGTTTTGGGTTATTTAAGGCTAGTGGGTATGGGTGGGGCCCCTTCTGAATCTGCAGTCCGGTCGCAGCTCGTCGCGTATCAGGCTGATGCTCGCCCCATGATGTGCCAAGTATTGGTAACAGCTGTACAAAGGTCCTCCCTGGTCAGCCCCGAGGATCAGCCGAACATGTTCGGAGTCGTCCAGTAAGCTGTCCCACCTGCAGCTTCCGGAGCTGTCGGTCACGAAGGCAATGCTCATGTTGTCGACGGCGTGCAGCAGTCTTGTCTCGGTGTCCCCATTGACAGGTGCCAAAGGGCAGGGACCCCAAATCTGGTCCAGGTTCTGCCCGACGTGGCTAAGAATGTTGGAAAGTGCTCGAAGCTCTTGCTTAGCTGCGAGCTTCTCCTCCTTCAAAGCTCCCAGAGCCTTCGGCCTTGAATTGCAGGTGGCCAGTAAATAATTCAGATTCAGAAAATTCTAGCTAGTGTGTCNNTGCAGCAAGACACAGCTTCTTTTTGTCCTGCGGGTTCTTCGTTTCCAAGCCGTGGCTCTCTGCGACCAAGGCAGCTGCTGCCATCTTCTCTGATGCCGGTGCACTCGAAGGTAGGAGGGTGCTGAGGCGTTGAAGGGTGCCCACCGAAAGCTGGCCAGGCAAAGCAAACACCGGAAGCCAAACCTCGAAATGTAGGCTAGGCTAGTATTAATTAATTATATTTAATTTTGGTAGGATATTCAACACTGAAAGAGGGGAGCTCCTAAAGTGATGTTCCATCTGCCGGCAAGAATCTTCCAGTTTGGCTTTGGGCGAAGCATCACGGATGATAGTCAATGATTTGTGTCGCAAACTGCCCAGGACCTGCCAAAAGTATAGACTCTCTAGATCTAACTTGTTCGGGCGTTCAGGGACAGTGGCCTCGGCCATGGTTTGCTCGGTTTTCCGAAGGTATCTGTGGATAAAATCTGCGGTCGTCCTCGCAAAGCTCTTGTGAATTGCAGCCGAGGAGATAGAGTGAATTTTGAGCTTTCTTGCGACCCTGGTCAGTCCTCCCATAGTGCCCCAGGCACAGGTCTTCAAGCCCCACATCTTTCAGCGTTGCATCTGCCGAGCTGCAACAGAAGCCGCTGCCCCTGGAAAGGAATCGGTCGACGGCGAGTTCGTCTCGCGGCTTGTTCTCCAGCCGCAATCTTCTGCCGTCCCTGTGAAGGGATTCTTTGTTTAGTTCAGAACAACAACAGCAGCAACAACAACAACAACTCGTCAAGGAATTAGCCAAGGCATGCACTTCGTAGCCGGATGGAATTCATGGTCGCGGGAAACTGCAGGTAGCACTGCCGTGGTGAGGTCCTCCATTGATGCCTCTGCCGCTTGGGCCAAGATATGAATCAGTCGCCGTTGGATGCGACCGAAGGTGTATCTGTCCTCGCGTGAGAAGGGTGTTCCACTTGAGATGCAGAGGGCTCTAGGGTCTAGTGCATATAGTCCTGGATCTGATCGTTGCGGGGCTGCCGGAGCAGGAACCAAACCACGACGGCGACACGGGGTCCTCAGAAACAATCATTTGGATTATTGCTCCCGGAAAACAAAGCTGGGCCTGTGTCCACGGATTGCTTCTCTTTCGAGAGAAGCTTGCACTAACGCCACCTGCGTGCCATGGAGACCCCTACTAGACAGCAGACTATGATAAGCATATAATAGTGTTACCTAAGAACTCTTTAAGTATATAGTCAGAATCATCTAAATCGAGTGTTCCGCCCTGGTCCTACCTGGTTTTCAGATCAGCAAAGTTCAGGAAGGCATTCCAGGATGCCAAGGAAACATGGCCATCCTGTACATAGAGCAGACCTGAGACTGTCAAAGATCAAGGGACAGTACC